GTTGAGGACAGTGGCAGCAGCCGGGTTGTTGGTGACGGCAGTCTGAGCCAACTTCAGCCTGTGGAGTGTGAGCTGTGCCTGGAGCTGTGCCAGCTGCAGGCTCGCTGGTGAGGGGAGCAGGGGGCTCGGGGCGCCGACGGAGAACGGACTCTTCTCCAGGAGCTTGGCAGCACTGCAAAGGATCAGGGTCTGGGTTAGCCAAATTCGCCTAACCCCTCAAAAAGTTTCTAGGGAGACAACTATGCCAAAGATCTCTCTTCAGAACTCCCATTGCATCCGTCTGGATCAGGCCTTCAGCTCATTTAAAAAACCCATAGGACTCACACCTCTAATGCAGACCAGAAACAGTGGCAACGCAAGCCCCAAATCTACATTTTTTTCTCTCTTTTCTGTATTTTATGCAACTTCCTGCCTCCTTGCTGAGACATCGCTGTTCCTGACTGATTTTGTGACAGTTCCATTACTTCTTTTTTCCACAGAGCAGGGCGATATGAAAAAGAAGATATCAAATGGGATCGTGAAGCCAGCCCTGTAGGTACTTTGCATCTAGCACATCTGGCTGCATAAAGCAAGATGAAATACACCACATGTATTTCTTTTAATTGTTTACAGTTCTCATTTAATTAATCTGCATGGCAGCCTGTTCTGTAACCAAGTACATAATTTCCCAGTTGTGCAGATGCAAATACAGAGAAGGGAAAAAAGCAAATGATTTGCCAGAAGCTGGAGTAACCATGAACAAACTGTCCTGAAGAGTTTCCCCAGTTCAGCTAGAATGCAAGGCAAAATTTCTGCAGGGCCAGCTGGTAAAAATCAAGGTCTTTATACTTTCTAGACATTAAGAGGTGCACTGAGTGTCCTCCTTCAAGCCTCGCACATGGGATGAATAAATGATGACTAAATTGCCTGCTTGAATTCCAGAGCTGGGAAAATAGGAGATGAACTTTTCAGGTATATGGTGGTTCCTGGCTTTCAGAAGCACCTTTGGGACATTTCACCAGTTCACAGCACCACCACCAAACCTTCCTCCCCCCACCTCATCAAACCCTGAAAACATAAAACAGGAAAAAATGCAATCAAAATGAGCAAAGTCTAGCAAAGTTAAAAGTGAGAGAAATGTTATAATGGAAATATCAGGCAGCGCTAGCTTCCAGGCAGCTGCACCCACTCTGCTTTTACTGTCCTCCTTGCACCCTTCCAGGATGCCCTCTGCATCATCCGTGGCAGAGCCAGCCTGCTCTGTGTGTACGTACACTGTATCATGGCTCTGTTCCCTCCATATGTTGTGCTGCCTACGCTTGGATACCATCAGCCATTTTCATGCCCTACCAGAAAAATGTTAGCCGTCACTTTTTCCGCCACCAGGAGCCTCTGTTCATGGATGGCACAGCTACTCAGCACATTACAAACGGCTGTTCATTCTGAAAATGAGAGCACAGAGCACTGGAATAACAGGGATGTGGTCCAAAGCTCAATTAATTTACATTGTAAAAATGTATTGAGTTTCAATTGAGGCCTTTCAAAGCAGCAGGAGCTACGCATCAACCACCACGCAACCCTCACTGTTAATAATTGGCCAATTTGCTAAACTGCATGGATGAAGTTGTAGTTAATGATAAATGTCTTGTCAGCATGCTACATTTGAAAACCACAAATTAGGAAAACATCTGCTTAAATCCAAAGTATGACTAAGAGAAAATGTATGGGTTTCATATTTAACGTTTAACTTCCACTAGCAACTGCAAGGCACATCTGTCTCTCAAAATACAAAACGCCATTTGGATAAGTGCATCACTATGTAATGACGAGACTCCCTGCCAGCACAAGCTGACACCAGTGTGCTTCAGAGCTGAGGTGCCTTTTGTTTCCCCGTGTGGTTTCCATCGCTTACTCTCTGACTTGGACTTACAGTGCACTTCATGTAAATTTGATTACGGATGAGAGTGAAGGCACGAGTACAGCCGAAACAGCATGGAGGCTCTCAGAAACCCCAGCTCGTGAGATCCTGAGGACCCACAAAAGCTACGGAGGAGCCCTGTGGGGTTGTGAGGGGCTCAGTGAGTGGAAGATCCCACACCGGTGTGGGCACTGTTGTCACTGCCAGGGGACGTGGCACAACTCTGTACCCAGGCTGTATTGTGCCTCCAGCATCTGACGCATCCTGGCTTATGCTGTGCTGCACAGGACTCGTCACAGTTCTGACAATTGTTTCATTTTTATAGGTGGTTATACCTTTTGTATGCTAAGTAAGCTATAAAACTCTTTTAAAAAGTTTTACAGAGCACACAAACAAGAACTGTCTGGTGGTCTTACAACATAAAGAAAAGCAAGCATATGATGTTTACAGGCTCAGGAGCAGCAGATGACTCCTGTTCCCACCAATCTAATTCCACCGCGCTGCAAGCCTACGCAGCAGCATGCACATCCCGACAGCTGCAGCCGCTTCCCAACTCCGATGGCTACCTGCTGGACATGGGCATGGGCTCCCTCTCTCCAGGGACACCATCTCACTTGATGCTGCCGCAAGCCCTGAAGCTCATTCAGCCTCCTCCTATTTTGACCAACTTTGGAGCACTATCTCTAAGAAAACCCCCTAGTCTGGCATGCTCAGGGGGCTTGCTGCCTCCCCCAACTCTGCAATAATTTCTGGGCTCTGCAGCTGGGCACAGGGAAGACAAGTGCAAGAGTGCCAGCTCTGGCCAGCAGCTTCCGGGTCCTGGTGCGGAGCAGGGCAGCACTCTGCTCCCTGTGCCTGCTGGTTTAATCCATGGTCTGCAAGCCAATAGTGAGGAGGGCCTGGGGGCTTGCAGGAAACCTCACCTGCAGAAAAATTAATGCCCTAAGGAGAAGCTGCAGCCTTCAAGCCACTCGCAGAGGAACAGAATAAGTGAGGAGGGTTGCTCCCATGCACAATAGGTTTGGGAATGGCAATAGCTTCAAAATCCATCTGTCTGTTTTGAATTTCCAGATTTCAGGGTGTTTTGGGTTGCACACTTTATCCTCCCACAGCAGAAACAGACTATTCTATCCTCTAATCAAGGCAAAGAAGGAAGGCCATATCCATGGGTCAGTGGGAAAGGCAAATATGCAGATGGGAGGCTGGGAGAAGAGCTGTGTATAAAGCCTCTTTTAGAGCAATGTCCAAATCTGAGGAAGTTCTATCATGAAGTACAGAATGTATGAGACACATGGGACCAGCATGCACAGCTTCGAACATTTATTTTTCTCTTTCTGTTCTACAATCATAATATTTATGTATTTGGTAACATCATTTTGTAAATAATCCTGTTACAGACTTACTAAACTATTGGAAACTGCAAACACAAAGTGAAGATAGCGCTCAGCTAAGGCATTTTGTGGGGGCCGATCACCATTCATACACACACGCCTCCCACCCCAGCTCGTCCTCAGGTTACCAAAACGTAGCCCCTGCCTGCTCGTGGGAGGTCTCTGCTGCAAGATAATTCAAAGCAGCTGAATGCAGCTCTCACTCTCCATTGAGCACCCAGGGAATTGGCCTGCATTAGCCAAAGCGAGCTCTATCCCGCACAAAACATTCCCGATTATGAGGTCAGTGCTGTAAAAAGTAAACAGAAGTTGTCCTCTTCATTTATTTATTTAACATTAGTTGTACAGCTGAGCCACACCAGCAGTCTCTGCACAGCTAGAAAAGCCAGAAGTGGTCTTTCCTTACCAAAATAAGGGAAGGCAGGAGCATTCCCGTGCAGTTTCCACCAGGTAAGTTCTCGCACAGCTCTTTAAGTCAGGAGTTGAAGACAGGCGTCAACTACTGCAATACTCACAATGAGAGTGCAAATGCTGGCTATATTGCTATAAATCAATTCAGCCCTTGTAATCTTTAATATGCTTTTAGCATCCAAGAAAAGTGAGCAACATAGTGTGTTGGAGGCAAAACATCTAGAACTCCGGATTATTTGAGTAATCCTGCCTACAAAAGTGATGTAAGGGCAAAACACAAAATATGTCTATCAGAACAGACCAGCAACCTGGAGCTTGATTTTCAAATAACAAAATCAAAGATTTTAAAGTGCTGCCTGGCACATTTCAAAATTAACAAATAAATTTTAAAAGTTGAACTAATACAGTTATGATCATAGCTGCAACTATTTATTTAGAAAATACTTATAGTCACAAATATTTGAAATGCTGCATGGGGTGTGAATTTGAATATATAAAAAACGTAACATAAAAAAATACTACTTCATAGCGGTGCAGAATTTTTCTTGCATTTTCCATGAATCTTGCACATTTAAGATTTTTGCACTCCCTCACCCATGACACATTTGCCTTTACATATAATTACATCTACATGTCAAAATCTTTGAAAGATAAATATTTAATACTTTTGTTCCAAAAGATGCACTTTTTCCAAGCTGTCTATATTATTGCATTGATTTCAGAATTAAAATGGCCAAGGATATTAAGATACCAAATATCCTAGATGGATCACTCCTCTGCATTAGCACAGTATGAGATGTGAGACCATATTTGCAATAGCATGCTGATTTTTCATCTATTAAAGCTGTTTCTGAATCAATTCTTCTAACAGTTAGGAAACTTTACATTTTTAATTCAGGACTCTTGAACACATCAAAGAGAACCATTTCCTAATGATCCAAGCACAAAATAAATTATATTCTCTTAAGCAGAAGTGCAAACATCCCTTCCCTGTAATGTATCATTTATTCAAAACACATGGGGCTGCCTGCTCTAAACTCAACCAAAACAACTGCCACTGTACTAAAAGAGCAAATAAAAAACCCCTTTAAAATAAACAAATCAATTGTTATATAGATGAAGTTGACAAGGTGTTAGGGATAAACCTAGTCTTCAAATAAAAATGCACATTTGACAGTACTTCAGTGAGATTACACGTTTGCATGTGAGGACAGACTTCAGCCTCTTGAATTCAAGGAAACTGCAAAGCCTTATTTCAACCACTGGCAGAAGTAAAGACAAAGTTCACTAATCTGAACAACATATATTATTAGAAGAATTAATTGTTATCAGCTGTTTTGCTGATCCCATTAAGAACACAGTTTATGTTTATTTTTGCTTGTTGAATAAACCCACCAGTTAGGTTAATAAGACTGGTGCACTGGTTACAAAACGGACACAGAAACTTTTTCCTATACTCTAGACTGCATCTGGCTGATACTAAATGACTCTGTTTTTTCTTTTCAGCTCCACAAACTGTATGTTCTTTGGGTTTTGGTGAAATCACTTTCTTGGTCAGAAAAGCTTGGAAAAGAGAAAATCTCTCCACTTTTATAATTTAAGCTCTGAAATCATCTGACGCCAAAATTTTTTTGCCAAGTTCTGGTTAGAATTGATTAAAAAAAAGAGATCATGTTTCCCAGTAAGTTCAGCTAATGATGGGGAGCACTAAAAACCTTAAGCTATTTTAATACGTTTATAAGCTGCAAGTAAAACCCTTCTTATCCCAAATAACGATTTCTAAAGCCCTCCATTATACTATTGAAGGAGTAAAATAAAACATCAGCCAAAGTACACAAGTGCTTTGCCAAGTGAGTTTTGCATGTTTGGCAATGGTAAACCCGACCATCATCCAACCTAACAGTTAACTGGAAGATGAAATCTAAACTGTTATCACAGGGCTGCTAAACGTGAAGTTTACAAAGCTGATAGAAGTTCGGTGTCTGCCTCCTACCGAGAGTCCTTTTTGGAAACTTCCAGCCAAAACGTTCTCTGTCTTCGCTTATATGCAGAGAAGTCAGACAATTTCTGCTGGGAAAGGGACAAGAAAAGGGGGCAAACACAGTGACTACAGCTTGGATAACGGCTGTGATCCCAGAAATAAAATTGGAAGTGACTGTAGGAGGATGATTAGACCAGCTCCTGATGTGGGATCAAGCTGCACCCAACCACTCTTGACATATTTATTTGATCTGCTCTTAGGAACATTCTTTGGTGGAGATTTCACAACCTCCAGGGACAACTAATTGTTCAACTCTCCTTACTCTCATAAAGCTCCTCTTAAAGCCTATGGTGGCTCTCAGCTAACGGCATAAATCAGTCTTCCCGTGCACACCAAGAGGACTTCTCTTACCTTCCTGCAGCTGCTATCAAATCTTCTCTACAACCACCCCAGCTCCTTTCTCTGCACATTTTGCACATTGCATTTGTTTGTAATGCCCACTATGATTGCTTTTCTTCATAACAGCACAGCCCCAGGGTTCCCTGTTACACCCAGACCGTTTCCTGAAGAGCTACTCCCCAGAAATGTTGGTTGGGAGGGATCTCTGGATCTGCTCTGACTTCCCACACAGGAGAGGCTCGCTCAGTCCTTCCTCCTTTCGACTGCCCATTTCATTGTTCTCATCAATACTGCATCCAGGTTATGTCAGATTTGGTTTGTCAGGATTACTCTGGATTCCTATGCTGCCTTCAGGGTACTTGTAAATCCTCTCCTCTTGGCACTAGCTGCAGGTTTGATGGATACTTTGTTCAGCCAAGTCATCAATGAAAGTGTAAAATAGACTAAAGACTGTTCCCAAGAAGGGAACTGCAATGCATCATCCTATTTTCTCTCCAAACACCAGTAATTCAAGGACATCTTATCCACCTTGCAGCTCTGCTTTGCGTGCTGAAGAGACCACGCTCTTTCCTCCCCGACAGTCACTTCTGCTAAAAAAAGCAACTGTCCTATTTGCAGCTGCAAGACTAAAAGGGTGGATCATTGCTGGTGAGACTGATTTCTCGTTAACAACTCTCGCTCTGTAGTTCTGGGAGACTTGTTTTGGATCGTTGTTTAAAATCAACTGTATGTTCTGATTTCTTTACAGCAACATTTGTTTCTATTTGATTTAGCTGCTTTCAAATACTGAATCCAGTGCCATAGACAACAGCACTTACAGCACGAGAACAACAAAACCAGGTACCACCGAAGTCTGTGCTAGCCATCACACTTCCTCCCCTGTTATTCTGTATACATTTTACCCTGGAAATATGTTTCTTATAATGCATGGAATTCCAGATTTTATACTGGGTTTATTTCTCCTTTCCCTCATGCAACACATCTCTCCATAAATATTTAATTAGGCGAAGTTCAACTACTTTCAAGTAAGGGATACAGTCCAGCAAATGTACTCCTAAAACTAAGGTTACAGGTAACGATTTTGAGAAGTTAGGAAAGTTATAATTTTGTTCTGTGACATTTAAATGTTGTTTGGTTTTTATGATGTGCCACAGTACATCACGGATGTCTCCGAGGATTAGTGTGGACATGGGAACACTGGTCCACATTTTAAATTTCAACAGGCAGCCAACTGCTTCCCAAGGAAATGTGATTCTTTATTTATAAAAGTTAAAGAAATGTATTTTTAAAACTGCATTTTAAATGTATGCTAAAAACTGTCAAAAATAGCTATAGCACCACATCAGTGCCCTCTGTAACATGTTGCAAAGATCTAAATTAGTGCAGAATTCGTGCCAGAGTTTTACAGAGCTTTCGGGGCATGCTGCAACAGTCCGGAGGTGCCATGCTGCCCGCACCTGCCTCCCCAGCACCCTTCCTGCACATGGAGACTTCAAATACCCTTTATGGTGCGAAGCCCCCAGGCCAGATTACCCCTGCCAACCAGCATCCCAACAGTGTTCCTGTAGGAAGGGGTGCTGGGAGTTCCCAATGACCTCAACAGCGCAACAGCCATGGACCCCATGCAGACGCCAGTGTCACTGTAGCCCAAGCCCCCTTGTGCTCCCGCTCCAGGCAGCAAAGGGCACGGCCCCAGGGCTTGCAGGGAGGCCGAGGGGAACAGGAAGCTTTTCAGGGGGAAAAGAGCAGGTGAAAAGGTGGTGTGGATGGTAATGTAAATCCATGAGCAAAGAGGCTGAGACGGGGATTAAGGTTGGCAGAGCCAGGTAACCGCAGTGGGAATGGGGCGAGCGGCCATCGCAAACGCACTCCAGTTTCGGGGACTGCTGCGCTGCCACACGGCTTGGTGCTCACAGCTCTGCTCCCAATCTCCCCTCGAAAATAAAGGAAATCTAGGGAGAAACAATCTGGAAAGCTCATTATAACTTAAGCAAAAATAGAAAATATAGCCTTTAAAAAAACCAAGCAAGTCAGAAACCCTTCAAAGGCTTTTTATGCGACCACATAGACAAATGCCCAACTAAAAAATAATCCTTGGCATATATTACTTACTGGAAAATATATTACTGTAATATCTCACCACTCCTTCTGCTAATGTGTTTGCCACATGGTATTGTTAACCACTACAAAAATAATAGGTTTGTATCAATATCTTGAACTGCCTGGAGGCATCGCCATTTTCATTTGTGCATTGAAAGTAGAAGCATAATGTGGTAGGCAGATAATTTCTCATTTGAATAAACCATTTCTATTTCACAGTAATATAAGACAATATAAAAGCTCTTTTACAAAGGCAGTATCTTCAGTTTGTAGACAGGAAAATGACATATAACTGTGGAAAGGGTAAAGAGCTAAGAAGCATTTTCATTTCTAAGTAGCTTCATTTGTGCTCAAAGACAGGATTGCTATTTGCGGAAAAAAAAAACCCCAAAATATTAAACTCACCATTTTATCCTTTAAAATATTAGTCCCAATGTTATATTTGAAAAGTTTTGTGAAAAAGCATATCAGTAAATTAAGTCTCCAGGAGAACACTGGTCACAATTCATAATGGTAATGGCAAAGGCTACAGAAATCGCGCGCAAACCTGAGCTCTTCTCTTTGTACCCTAGGTCAGCTGAAAAACGACGGCTCACGACTAAAAGTCTCCCAGGTGCATCACACCCATTTCATAATTAATCTAGTATCACCATTGCCTCTAAAAGCTGTTTAATTGCTATATGTTACTAACCACTATAGCACAAAAATGTGTGAGGAGGAACGCTGGACTAGCTCCTATCGGGAGTGGCCAACACGATTTTCTTTCTCTTTACCACTAATATTTAAATAAGAGAAAAAGAAAAATAGAAAGAAAAAAATAAAGAAAAACAAAAGAAAACAAAAAAATGAAATAAGAAAATAAAAAAGAAAAACAAGAAAAAATAAAAACTTCACCTATTTTTTAATCAGTTTTCTGATTAGAAAACCAGAACATCTGCAGGTTTCCTAAGATACATTTATTACATAACTATATACTTAGGCCTATTTTTCAGTTTTCTTTTTATGTATATTTTAAAAGCACATACATGTTATAAATTCCTATTGTTTACATACCCACACGCATTAGTTTGTATACATAAATTATACATGAATCTGATGAAGCCCAAATCTAATTCAGCTGTTACTGAAGCGTGCTGCAAAGCCTTTCCTGATTTCACTGTAGCAGAGCAATGCTCCTGTATCCCTTTTCGGTTATATTTAATTTAAACATAAAACATCAAAGAAGATTTGCTCTCTTTTCATGATGTCTTTGAAATCAGCTTTAATACGAGACCATAATATTTGTACTGTTACATGGAGATAATGCACAGCACATTTTGGCCTAGAAGCTTTTATTATCTATTTTGCAACCAATGTTGCTCACTTTTTTTTCTTTAATGCCTCCAAATTTCTATGCTAAAGAAATTTTAATGTGAATCTTGAAAGAAATATAGGAGGTTTTATTTATTTTTCTTCTGTTGAAGAGCAACAGTTGGTATGAATCAGACCTGAGCGTGTTCCTGCTGGCAGAAAACACCCTGTGCCAGAACTGCTGGCACTCTCTGGCTTTGAGAAGTTTAATTTATTGTCTGGAATAATAAACTGCCATTCCATCAACCTTGTGAAACAAAACATAAAACAGGCCGGTGCTTAAATCCTGAACAAAGACCAAAAAAGATTTCCACAAAGGAAACAAAATTGGGAGAGGCATTTTATATTAAATAACATCAATTACCTTATTCTCTCTTTTGTCTGCCTTCAGTATTAATTAGGAGTAACAGACAGTTAATGCGCTCCAAGCTCTGCACGGTAAAATTGATTAGTATACTAAGACGGAAAATAAGAATCAGTTTTTGATGAAAAATATCAGGTTTCAGAGCCCTGCATGTGGCAGCTGTGAGGGAGGAAAAAGTGTGAAGATACTGACCCATCCACGCCACTCAGCTGGGCACCTGCCCAGTCCTGCTGACAAAACTGCCAGTGCAGTCGGCCGGCCGTGACTTTTTGGTTAAGCGCTGCATTACTGCCCCTTCGCCCCTTACGTTCTGCTTGCTGGTTTCATCCATTTTCACTGTAACGCGTGTGCTTTGCTCAGTAGCTGCAGTCTGTATGTCTAAGTAGCTTACATGACTAAGGAAATAGAGGTTTTAATTCGTTCTGCTGGCCTGCGTAGTAGACGATACACCTTGTGTTACTGATGTATCTTTTAATCTCAAAACACTCTGAGACTCAGATTCAGTTTTTGGCATGAAAAGAAATCTAAGAAAGTTGTGAGCGCTATTGTTTGGGTTTGATTTTTTTAACATAATTATTTTCTTTAAAATTATCTTATTTATTTCCCAGGCTTTACTTCTGAAAATAAAAACCTGTCTTGAAGTACAAAGTATCAGTTATTAAAAAAACCCAAACAAACCACAAAAAAGACAAAACAAAAAAATATTAATGATGTTGCCGTGATTCTTTTTTTTTAATTCCAAGGAACTCCATTCATAGTCTAACGAAAGCATTTCTAAATTCAATCATCTTTGAACTATTTTGATATTTTGACTTGTTTCATGTCTTAAAATAATTCTGTGCCCACTGGTTGTAAACGACATTAATGTAATTCTGCTTTAGAAGTCTGCTCATGCAGACCTATTACAGAGTGGTTCACCATGGCAAATCAATAGGATACAATTTGGTATGGAATGTCTTTTAATGTATAAAAGCCCTGGTATTACAAAAAGCTAAGCATTATAAGAAGCTCCTGCACAAACCAGATCGTATCGTTAATTTGAAATCCCCGTTAGCTGCTACCGCCAGAGCTGCGCATGCCTGTCTTTCCCCTTCGCTGCGGAAAGAGCTGTACTTCAAAATTAAATTTTAAAGATCGCCAAGATACTCCGCTTGGCAGATTAGCGTCCCTCCTTGCTGGACACAGCAGTGACAGACATTTCGGCGCGGCGGCAGGAGGACACGGGTGCCACGACGCGATCTTACCTTCTTGCAACATGTAGGACTGCCGGGCACAGCGAGCCGGTGCGGAGGGAGCGCGGCCAGGAGCCGATGTCAGTGTTGCGCACATGTCGCCCCGTAACATCCCACTGACATTCTACCTGCTGCCTGCGCCACGACTATTTACAAGCTTCCTTCCAGAAAGTCACAACTTTAGGACCGAGAGAAAGAAAAAAAAATCCCCACCACCCTACCCCAAATGGAGGACTGGAAGGCAGATCACGTGGCCGCCGGGAGCCCGTCTTGTTGCATTACACGCAGCAAGTGTGGATGGCAAACAATTATCGGTTGATGTTTATGCCATATGGTCTCGGACTCTTCACGTATCAGCACCAAAATCCTGTTGTGCACAGTGTAATGCCACGGGATCCTACCGGGGAGAGGGTCACAGCCTAATTAGGTGAACTGTGGAAAAATGCGGCACACTAACGAAGACCAAGAGGGACTGACTTTTACAGAGCAAGCACTTGCTCTGGAAGGAAACAAGCATTACCCAGCTCAAATTTTAACCATTTCTTAAAACATGCACTCAAATACATCATGTTTTAATCCCTGAGCAATCTGTCTGTGTTCAGACTTGCTGCCACCAAGGACAGTTGAGGTATTGAGGAAAGCCACCGCTGTTATTTGGGCTAATGTTGTTGCTGAGGTCAGCTATCAGCAGTCAACAGAAAGGAAACTCATCTTCCAGCGCTAATCCACTGCTCCAGGTGCAGACGAACGCTGACCTGTGCCACTGGCTCTGCTGGGACTAAAGCACGGGCAAGAGCCACAGCCTGCACATCCTTGATGCGGTATTTGACGAGTTACTTCAGCGGGTCTTTCCTCGTTGCTTATCCATCCTTGTTAGACCAAAGCTTTTCAAGACCAAGTTTTGTGCCTTCCTAAACCAAAATATTTTATACTTTACATCTGGATGTCAAGGTTATTGGTCTTTTCCATATGTCACATTACTCAAAAATGAACATAGACACAAAAAATGCTATTTTCCTGTCCCTGCTTTTAACATACCACAGTGTATACGTCAATAAGAAATAAATGAGCTGTTTTCCCATATCCAAAGATCAAGATAAGCCAAATATTCCTATTTTTGCCTAGCATACATTAATTAGCTCTTCAGCCCATCAGACCACTCTCCTTACAGCTGTTTAGCTGGCCACTCTACAAACCTCCTGGGACACAGCAAGAGCTTGTTAAACTTTCCTTCTGCAATTAACAGCATTAGTCTGGAAACCTTTCACGGTAGCAGTAGCATTCTATTCATGACATGATCCTTCTATGGAAGATGCTGTTTCCAAAATTGCTTTGCACTAAGGCAAACCACAGACTAAATCAGCCTCTTACCTTAAAAAAAAAAACCAGCCCTGTGATTCTGCAATACTTCATATCTGCTCAAAGCGGAGCCTGGAGGGGTCTCCATCCACGTTTTCTAATTTTCTTTCTTGCCTTCTTTCTTCTTTCCTCTGCCATGTCAGAGCGCTCTCCACACCTCTCCAAAAGCAAAAACTACTGTTTAAGTTTCCAGCTTTTCTCCAAATAAAAAAAGCCCTAAAGAAATGGCAAAGACTGTGACTGAAAGGGGAAAGGTGCCTAACAGGTGGTCCAAGGTTGTTTCTTCACACATGCAACTCCCATCAGGAAACAGTGGAAAATTCAGGAGAAGAAGGAATTAGTAAAACCTATGGGGTTTTTCTACAGCCTGTCACATTTCCCCCAGCACAGATGCCCTCACTTTCTCCTCTGCATCTGCATTACATTATAAACAGGATGGAGAAACACAAACCAACTTTCACTTGAATCTGAACTCTCCATCTCATGTCACCCTCAGGACAATCACATATGGCGAGTTCAGCCTGGGAACCATGCCGGGACCCTTCCGGCCAGGAGCAGAGCTAATCCTCACCGCTGCCCACATATGGCTGGTGACTGAGCGCTGCAGGTTCCTCCCTGCCTGCAGCTGCCGGCCCAACCGGCGGCACGGGCAGCGCCGGCCAACTGGACTGTGTCAGCAGATGGACCTGCATTTTTTCCACCAAGTCAGGGTAGGCCAATGACGAAGGTAAGAGAAGCAAGCAACATGGGCGATTTGATTTCAGAAAACGCTACCTAGCACACAGACTGCATGTTCGCTGACCTCTCCAGAGAGGGAAAAGATTCACTTTCTCAGCTCTACGGTTTTCCCTAACCTGCATTTTCATCTGTCATCAGATACTCGTGTTTCGCTTCGCACCCAGGGAAAGAACTTGCCCCAAAACAGCAGCGCTCCAGGCAATGTGGCAAATCTCATCCCTGTGGCATGTCCTCGCCTCATCTATCTGCTGAGCTGGGAAAAAAAAAAAAAAGAAGAAGAAAGAAACCAGCAGCTAGATTTTTCTCCTCCCCCTCCCTGAGGAAAGACCTTCCATTCAGAATAAATCAGTTAACATTTGCTATAATGCACTTTTCCCATCGTTTTTGCTACCTTAATTAAATGTCATAAAAAAATAAATGTTATTTTTGAAAGTTAATCTACTTCAGAGAGAGTGAAGCCTCTCAACTGGTTAAATGTCATTGTTTTCAGGTAGGAATGATGTGCAAGTCACTATACCCACCTTGTAGGCACATGCAAGGTTTCCCAACTGCCTGACGCCCTCTGCTAAGGTAATGTGATGCTTTCACGTGGTGAGACTAGAGAGGCTCTGGGGCAGTCTCTGAGTATCAGTAGGGGTAGGGATAAAAAAATCACTTAGAAAACTTGTATGGTGAAAAAACAAACAACAACCAAAAACTAAGGATGAAGTAATGCATCTGAGAACAAATTTGAACTGAGCAGCTGGCACACGTGGAGAGAAATCCTTGAGTCAAAGGCAATAATAAATCTGATGAGCTGTAAGTCCTGTGGAGCCGCTTTTCAGGAACTTTTGCTTTCTAACACTACTTGGGGATTGTTTAGGCGTAACTTTCTAATTCAGAGGTCAATCTTTTCATATAAATTGCCTAGCATAATCTCTGGATTCTGATATTTCTTAATGCGTTTAAAAATCTCTTTTTATTACAGCAAGCATAAAAAATTCAGATTCTGCCCCTATCTCTGGCGCTTCTGGGTCATAGCATTACTGCTACAAAAAACATCAGTACGTCATTTAGAAAACATCCTGAAAAGTCACATGCATCAATGCAAGCCGAGCAGGGATAAGGCGCATCAATTTGAATATTCAAACAGCAGAATTAAAAAAAAAAAGGACAGAGATCTCCAGATATGGGAGCATCTCCACTCAGAGATTATTGAATAAACGACACATCCTGATGTAAGGATAGAACATGAGCCTGAACATCTCCTTGCATAAACCAGCCTCTGCAGGGGAGAAGCTTATCTCCATATTCTACAAAAGCAAGCTTTATAGTCGTGCTTTCTATAATACCCTTACAATGAGATGCTGGCAGACAGACAGAATTGTGGTTGGATCTGTTGTAAGAATTTCCATATTTCTGTAACAATCAAGTTCTTTTAAAGGAGTCTGTTACATCCATCTCAGTTTTTATAATGACAGACCCAGTAAAACAGCGTTTTCTTCCCTCAAGAAAGATGAGATAAATCACTGTATTCACAGTTCATGCAGAAAACGTCACATGTATTTTTCCTGCTTTATACTCACAGCCAGTCACTCCTCCTGAGCTCTCACCCTGCTCTGTATAGTAATAGTCAAACAAATGATTAAAAAATAAAATAAAATCCAGCTACAATCCTTTCTGCAGTCAGCATTACAGCCCAGTTTGGCCAGGACAGCAAACCAGCTTTCTTACTGGGACTGGAATCAGATGTCTTCTACAGCTTCCCTATGACAGACAGGAAAATGAAACATCTGTTCTACATGTCTACATCTCAACTAATAAATTAAAGACTGGAAATACTCCACAGAACTGGGACTCCAAAAATTCTGGGGGCCTGGACATCGACATTTTTGGAGGACCTCTAGCGAACCCATTCAAAGTTCATAAATACTTTTTAACATGACATCAAGAAGCGGTGCAGGAATACAGGTGCAACGCTGTTAGACATTAAAGCAGATCTGTACCAGCATTTCTAACTTTTGTTTTAGTTGCTCAAGTGTCTGTAGAGAGTAAGGCTTCAGAGAGTGGCAGCATCAAATCTAACTGCCAAAATAAAATATCCAGACTACAACGTGGTTCTGCTGACAAGGTCAGGGTCACTCCAGCTCTCTGGCATCAGACCTGCATGATTTAGCACAAAAATAGTTAGATTTTAAACAGGACCAGTAAATCCCCAGTCACCCATGTGTGGGCTGAAGACCTTTCACACCGGCCTTCTGCACCACTGCCGGCTGGTTCCCATCTACAAGCAGAGGGTGATTACTTGTCTCAGTGGTATTTTTCCTACTTTTCTGTCATTCCTACTGGGTTTTGGATTGAAGTCCACAGTGAATGCAGTGTTCATTATTACACAGGGAGACAATCTGGTGGATGGGACAGCGGCTGAAGATAGCATAAGCATTAAGCGTAATTATAAAGAGATCTTGAGCAGTTTCCATAGGTGTCTTGTTTTTGAATTAGCTAATTGGATTACCTAAAATCCTCCAGCACAATGTATCAGTCTTGAAGTCTCTCATCAGATGTAGTAAGACTTCAGTCAGGTTTTCTGGCTGTGACCTGGCCTGTGGTCCCTCTGTAACACCTTCAGATGCTTTCGTCCCCTGATTTGTCTAGTGAAGGTAAAGCCTTCCTTCATCACTGGAGTTTGAAAGAGAGTAATACACACAATAAATTCTGCTGCACACGCCAGTGTTAGCTTATGGATAGCTTAAAGCTTAATTGACCTCATTCATGTTTATAAATATTTAAAGGGTGAGTGTCACGAGGATGGAGCCAGGCTCTTCTCGGTGACAAACAATGATAGGACAAGGGGTAATGGGCACAAGCTGGAACACAGGAGGTTCCACTTCAATTTGAGAAGAAACTTCTTCTCAGTGAGGGTGACAGAGCACTGGACCAGGCTGCCCAGAGAGGTTGTGGAGTCTCCTTCTCTGGAGACATTCAAAACCCGCCTGGACGCCTTCCTGTGTAACCTCATCT